ATATATAGAAGCGGGGAATCAAAACTGTGACATTCTGAGTTAGAGTCTTGGTGCAATTGCGAGATCGTATTAGAATTCTTTTTTTTTATTATTATTGTAAGCCTATAACTAGTGCAAGACTCAGTGTTCTGCAGAGGATTTTTGTATTTCAAAAAGGGGCTCTGTATTCACGTTTGCTTTTGATATGAACAAAGGGAAGTTTGTGAAATCGGGATGCAGTGGCTGAAATGTCAGCTGTGAATTTATGCAAAGGGTGGGGAGAGAAAAAAAATATATTTTATTTAAAAGGTGGCCATACTTGGGAAATTTGGGCTCATTAATAAACCCTCCAAGCATGGAAAATTGGCATCAAACATGCTATTTTTCAGTACTCCTCGTGCAATATAAAATAAGGAGCTTACACTGTAATGCCATGCACTATTAACGTAAAGCTCTGAAATAGTCCGCAATGCAGTAAGGAAAACACTCATCCATTCACAACATTCACTGCTCCAGAAGAGCTAACATTCTAATGTCTCCATCACAGTCACATGCTATTATTATTATATAACTCTGACACGGTACAGTACAGAAAACACTGATCCATTCACATCATTCACTGCGCCACAGGAGCTTTCACTCTAATGTCACCACAACATTCATACTTATTATTGTTATATTTATATAGCTCTGACATATTCTGCAGTACTGTACAGATAGCATTAAACTGTTCACGTCAGTCTCCGTAGTAGAGAAGCTTACATATTATTGTCCCCTCCACAGTCACATGCTATTATTATACGTTTATATAGCTCTTACATATTCTGCAGCATTGTACAAAGAACATTGTACCAATTGTGCAAGTCCCTGCATCAAAGGAGCTTACACTCTAACATTCCTTCCACTGTCAGATACTAGTGGAGCCAGTTGACCTACCAGTATGTTTTTGGATTGTAGGAGGAGGGGCATACAAACTCCTTGCAGATGGTGTCTTTGGGAATCATACAAACACCTCAGCATTGCAAGGGCACCCATTAAAAAGGGCACCCAATAAAAACCCTTTCCACCACATCTTCTGTATCTACAGTTACTGGAAGAAGATCTTGAGCCTATTTTGCTAAAAGGTCAAACAAAATTCTAGGGCTGTGGAAATTAAAGATTAATTTCTCGATTAATCGTTAAACTTTTTGATCGATTAAAATAATTTTGATCGCTAATGAAAACACTCACCTCTCCGCCGGCTTCCGGGAGTCCTGTTGGCGATTCAGTGACGTCAATGTCCGTGACGTCACCGGACTCCTCCCCCTTCGTTAGCCGACGGAGCCACTTGGGCCGGTGAGTTTGCCCAAGAAACTTTCTGTAATACACATCACTTCTGCATTCACAGCCCGGAGGGAGATCAGCAAGGAGCTGATTTCCCTTCCTCTTCCTCATGACGCCCTCCCGAGCCGGTCCCGGGAGGCAGATGGGGCAGCGGATCCCGGGATTGAAGGTGAGGGGTCAGGAGGAGGGGGGGCGGCAGCAGACGGGGGAACGAAAAAGCGGGGGTGGCGGCAGACTGAAAAAACGAGCACATATAGACAATCGGCAGGCTATAGAGCCGCCGCTCGTCTATATGTGAAACACCCGGTAACGCATTGCATGGGTTACAGGAGGCTGGGGGGCATGCGCGAGCAGAAAAAAAATGCTGTCTGGAAATGGCAACCCACCAATGCAATTTTTTTACAACGGGCGGACGGCAACTGGTTGATCAATTTAAAAAAATTTTGATTGATCGAGCACGAAAATTTTAATCATTACCAGCCCTACAAAATTCCCCTGTATGGTCGCTCTGACTTTACATTTGTTTTCATACTTTACGGGACTGCAGGCATTTGAAAGATCAAGTTTATAATCAATAGGTGCAATGTTGTTTTGTCTGTCCCTATCTAGCAGCAAAAAATAAACATATTGCCCATATCCAAGCCCCTTTACGCATAACTTCTATGTCCAACAGGTTAAGTGAATCGACTGTTTGCTTTGAATCCTTGTAGCCATAACTCAATGTTCCAAAATGTAACTTTTGAAGTGCATATATATATATATTTATATATATATCGGGATGTTTTTTTATATGAAACAGGTGAAGTGTTAACTAGCAAAGTGAAAACATATATCTATATATCTAACATTACTTAAATTTATGCTTTAATACAATATTGTGGCTGTAACAGATTTGAAATAATTAATGATGGATGTTTCTTTTTATAACAAGTGTCGGATCTTTGTAAAATATTGTGCAGATTGTGAGATTGTGCTACATGTGGAGTTTTATCTGCATTGTTTAAAACCTTTCAATCACTTCTTTGCCCAAGACAAAAAAAAAATCTTGCTGCTGAATAACTTGTTGAAAAGTAGAAGTAGGGTCAGTGACTTTGTCTAGGGCAGGGGTTACATGTGAGCTTGGTGTGTCACAGACTATCCTAAAGCTTTCAGTTCTGATGTGCGTGCACGGTTCTCATTTGACCTTGTCCTTAAAGTGACACTAAACTCAGGAGTTCAATCTTAAAAATACATTCAAGTACCCTAACAAAAATGTGATACACAAATAAGATACATTTTTGTTAATAGTTAGGATACTTGAATGCATTTTTAAGATTTAACTCCACCAAATACTGATATTTTAGATTTTGGTAGATGTCAGCCAGTTTTTACTCTTTCAGTGAGCTTCTCCAGGGAAAACCTCTGCTTCTGAGTTCCTAGCTCAGCACACTCGCTGCAGCAGTTGGGAGGGGATCATTTATGGATTTTTAATAGATCTTATATGATAAAGAATGCAACTGAGTGAGGATGGTTACTGTTTGCCTTGACTAGGGGTAGGCAACCTTGGCATTCCAGATGTGGTAAAACTAGATAAACCATCAGGCCTCTGCCCCTGAGTATCGTACCTGTGGCTGTCAGTCTTGCAGGAATCATAGGACTTGTAGTTGCACAATAGCTCAAGTGCCGAGGTTGCCTACCCCTGGCATAGACTAATAACTAAACACTGCGGCTAATATAAGATATCTCAGTATTTCAGTAGTTCATTTTCAGATTAAAAGTCCTAATGAGCAAAATTTGCATCTACTCTCCCAACAAAACTTAAGTATTTTTAACAGTCAGGCAGAAATGTAAAGCCATCTTCCCCTTCAGCAAATCATAGTTGTCAGGGATGGCAGGCATTCAACTCACTGACTCCCAGCCATCCTAGAGGCAGACGCAAACAGCAAATTATTCTGGGTGTGGCTTAGATGATCAGCTGTTTGGCGTTTACAAAAACTGATATGGTTTTAATAGCTAATATTTAGAGATCTAAACATCTTTTACTTATACCAGAGTTCTTCTTTTAAGTGCCCAGGGAAATGCCTTGGAAGACAGTTTGCCCTCAACTGTTCTTTGCAGTTAATGGTCCATAAATACACACTTTTTATTGGCTGCTTTAAGATATAAAGGATTAAAGCGCAACTCCAACCAAATGTCGTTTTTAGTGTTGCAGAGTGGATGCGGTGCCTGTGTCCTTGAGGGAGACTTTTACCCTCACTACCTTTCCTGGTGACAACACAGAAAGTGATGAGAAATCTTACCAGTGGGACACAGATGGTAATAAATGCCCGCCTAACTCTCCTCCAATGTATTATTAATATAAAAGAAAAACAGCATATCGATGGGAACTAGCAATATAATCAAGTGTATCAGGATCATACAGCTGCTGATTATAATGTACATTTTTTTTTTTTTTATAAAGTAGAGGCAGCTGCTTGCTCAGCCGTTTTAAAATGACAGATTGGTTTAGATCGGTTTAGACATCAATAAAGTGATACCTCAGGTGCCTATATTATCATTGAAAACAGTGCAATTGCTACTGAGCAATACATGGCCTTATAATGAGCAGCAGAACAGAGTGCTGTGCAGACATTTCTTATTTATGAGCCGTGTCAGGATAATGTCTCTTTAAAAATGAGTAATGAGACATGACATTTAAGCTCTGTCCTAATGTATTTCCCTTTAAATTTAATTAAGTGGTAGAAAACGTGCCTGTCTGTTTGTGCAAGACTGTATGCTGCAACTTGTCAAAGGAAAGCAGCCTGATAAATGGGGGACTACGAGAGCAGCTGTCCATTACCAGATCTCAACCAGCGATCAGAGAAATATGGGGTTTCTGCTTATTAGTGATGTTTCATATTTATGTGAACGCAGACTATCCATCCGCTAAAGGCCAGTGACATCACTAAGGTGCTTTATATTTATGAGAATGCAGTCTATCCATTTACTAGACACCAGTGATATTACTGAAATTTCTTGTTATTGTGAAAGCAGCTTATTCAATCTCTAGAGACCAGTGACATAATTGAACCTTCATATTATGACAACATCGCGCATGCGCGGTCATCTGTTTGATACCTACCGGCGGTCATCTTGGTGATGGAGG